GTCAGCAGAAGCAATACAAGGACACTCTCAAGGTCTCTCTGAAGAACTTTGGAATTGATTGCATGACAAGGGAGACAATGGCACAGGACCACCCAACATGGCATGCCTGCATCAAAGAAGGCTCTGTGCTCTATGAACAAAGCAGAATTGCAGTAGCTCAAAGGAAATGCAAGATGTGCACATTTACAGAAATCTCCACTCCAAATGTTCATATGGACTATTTGTGCCCAACCTATGGTAGTCTTCTGAGCTCATACTGGTCTGATCAACCACAGTTGGACACACTGTACCTTGACCTCAACTTAGTGATGTTATTTTGGTCTTCTTTGAGCTCAAAGGACAGCAACTAAAAGATCTAAAGGCCTCAGTTAGTACACTGGATAAAGACTCTATTGCAGGTTGTTGGAAATGCTTACAAAGGATAAAAAAAATGAGGTATGGGTAGATTATGTCATATCACTGAAAGTATAACCCACTATGATGAAATCGAAGACCCATTCAAGTAGCTAAGTAACACTGAGATACCACTTTTCATGATGGATAATAACATCAAGGAATCAATCAATCCAAGTGATGGTATATATGTATTTATTTTTGAAAAAAAGACCTCTTATATCACTGGTATATGGAACTCCTCTGCCAGTCCAGTATGGTACCTGCTCTGTAACATAGAGTCTTAAAGAGTTGCCTAGGACACTGAGAGGTTAAGTTAGCTGCTCATGGTCAGTGGTCACAAAACCAGTATATGCCAGATGCAGGACTTAAATCCAGGTCTTCCTGACTCCAAAGACAACTCTCTATCATTATCTCCTGCTACTTCTGAAGAGATGGCATAAGTCAAATAAATAGGCTCAATAAAAGTTTATTTTTAAATATTAATTACAAATTTGCAATGTGTTATTTTGGCAAAATAGGATGCATCCCCAACTTTTGGAAGCTGGCACATAAGAAGTTAAATATGCCTTCCCTAAGGGTAGCTAGGTGGTGCAGTGGATAGAGCATCAGCCCTGGAGTCAGGAGGACCTGAGTTCAAATCCAGCCTCTGACACTTGACACTTACTAGCTGTGTGACCCTGGGCAAGTCACTTACCCCCAATGCCTGGCCAAAAAATAAATAAATATGCCTTCCCATAAATGTCCCCTCTGTATCATTGCCTGAGACAGACTACTGGACTTTGAGCAAGAAATGAAATTCTTATGTTTGTAAATCAATTTAGAAAGAAAATAATCTAGGAAAATCCACTTATATCACGTAACTGTCAAAAGAAAAATAACGGAAAAGATCAGGAGATTGAAAATCAAGAAAGGTGAATTTTAGTTCTGGCCTTTTTACTGTATGAGCTTGGCTAACTCAGTGAATGTCTCTGAGCCTTCGTTCCAAATCTCTAAAATGAAAGGGCTGAATCAGATGACCTATGAAGTCTTTTTCCGGCTCAGAAATTTTATGATTCTGTGGGTGACCAGCAGGTGGCAGTCAAGCAACATGAAAAATGACAGCATCCACAGAGACTAAAAAATATCAAATACATCTTAAAACCCAAAGACGATCAAGTATTGTACTTTACTGGATCTATATTTTGTCCATTTGTATAATCTCTTCATACTTTCTCATTCCGTACAATTCTTAAACACATCTTCTCCTTCCTCTGATTCTTTTAATACGTGATGGATGCAGAGGAAGCACTCAGGCTAGTCAATTACATCTTACTCTTGATACATGACCAGCCCACCTCTTTTGGGGGTTTATTAGTCTCTAATGATGTCATTTACCCTATGTCTCACATTCAAGTCATCATTGTTAATAATATGCTAACTTATTAGCATACATTACTTATGCAATTCTCTTTTGGTCATTGGGTCACCTGAAACTGTGATTCTTCTGATATCATGGTAGTTTGTGATTCACAACTGTAAAGGATTATCAGAAGAACCTTCATTTGACAACCATGAGTTTTGTGGCAATGGGCAGTATGGGATCATCTAAAGTTCTGTGTAGTTTCCTCAATGGTGTCTAGCATATTGTCCTATTCAATTATAGGCTCGCCTTGTTATCTGTCCAAGCTATCTGCCAAAGTGATATGTACTAATGAACAGTACAATAGATTTATCATCCAAAAGCACACAGTGATTTGGCCAATAAGTATTCTTCATCTCCTTTATTTTATTGTGTAGATGGCCAGGATGGTCAAAAGTGCTAGAGTATGGATTAAAATGGAAAACACTTGAGATAGTCATTTATGCGTGCTAAACATTGATATTAAACATTGATTTTTTAAAATAGCATCAGTGAGTCTAGTCTCCATCTGCAGAATGGAGTTATGGTTTTATACATAATTCAACAGCAAACTGATGAGTTGCTAAATTAAAAAAAAATCAAACACTATTTATTTCACCCTCAACAGTAATATGCCCAGCTTCAGAACATTATCCTTTTAGAACATGTTAATGATAGGTATAGGGATAGGGCATGGGATGAGGTATAAGAAGCTTCTAGGTAAGGAGCTTCCAATACAGGTCTGAACTTTCTCTAAAATTTACAGTCTTAGAGAGTTGCCTATAGTACTGAGAGGTTGTGGTTAGCTCAGGGTCCCCCAGCCAGTGTAAGTGAGAGTGGGGCTTAAATCTAGATATTATTAGCTCCAAAGCCAGCTTTCTATTTACTACAGCTGGGATTAAAGGGGTTAAAGTCATGAAGTGCTATATTTCATGCTAACACCTCAATCTTGACCTTCAAAGTCATAGAAAGTTTTACTTATTTTGCATATGCTGATGTGAGCTCAGCAATTCAGGAAATGCTGATTCATGGAATTAAGGGTATCTTTATTTCATACATCATTGTGAAGTGTGATTTTTTAGAAGACTCAAAATTACAGGTGATGCAAAGGATAATATAAAAATGAGAGTACACTGATAATTTGCATCAAATTGTGGTAGAAAGACAAGAACAATGACATGGTCAAGGGCATGGTCAAGAACTACATAATATAATGTATAACATGTCAAATTATTGTCTTCTCAATAGGAGGGAAGGGAAGGAGGGAGGGAATTAGGAACTCAAAATTTGGAAAAAAATGTTAAAACTGTTTTATATGCAATTGGGAAAAACAAAATATTTAAAAAACCCTATGTATTATAAGAAGACACGGATAGGACAGGTCACAATTTGTACCAGTTTCTCAAGTAATTACATTGATGAGACCAAGGAGCAACTGAAATATTGACAGAAGTAATGTTTTACATATGACTATTTAGATACTTCAATATATATTAACAGCGATCAACTTCAAACCTTAAATCAAACATTTCAGGGCGATATCAAGAGCTACGTCAGATAAAAACAAAAGCATTACTACGCTGGCATTGCCATGATCAAGTTCGTACTTATATATATAAAACTAAAAGCTCTGTCAGGAAGATAAGAAGCTGAGCAGTTCTTTTGAACATGGCCATTTAAAATCAGAAATCTATTCTAACAGCACAGAAAACTATTCCAGTTGGAGAGATGGAATCAATAAACTACAATTTTTAAATTTTTTTCAAGTATTTTACCCCAACAACCTGATGCCTTATTTTTATTTTTGTTGGCAGACATAATTTACTAGACACAGCAATGATGCACATGACTTTAGATGTCTACACCAATCATTTAAAGCCTTCTTTACAAATCTCTTGTGAATGTGTAAAGTTAACTAATAATATTAATAATAATAGCATTTAAATCACACTTTAAAGTTGACCAAGTGCTTTACAAATATCTCATTCTATCCTCACAATTATCTTGGGAGGCAGGTGCTATTATTATCCCCATTAGAAGGAAGCATCTATTAAATGCATACTATATGCCAGGCATTATGCTAAGTGCTTTATAAATAATATTTCATTTGGTCCTCACAACAATCCTGGAAGTAAGTGCTACTATTATTACTAGTTTACAATTGAGGAAACTGAGGCAGTTAAATGACTTGTCCAGGGTCACACAACTAGTAAGTTTCTAAGGCTGGATTTGAATTCATATCTTCCAAACTCCAGGTTCAGCATTCTGTGCATCGTGATACCTAGCTGCCTCTAACTAAAGGCAGAGAGTAAGGCATCATATAATGAATAGAGAGCTGGTCTTTGAGACAGGAAGATCTGGGTTCGTGTTCCACCTCTGACACATACTGACTGTGTGACTCCAGGCAAGTAACTTAACCTCTCAGTGCTGCAGGAAACATTCCAAAACTGTTGGTTTCTGAGAAGATGCTGACCTATATTGATAGAAGAATGTCTCATTGGGAACTTCAGATGAACTCACAGGCACAAGCATAATAAATAAATGAATGGATGGATGGATAAAGAGAAAAATAGATAAATAAATAGATGAAAAATAAATCAATGAATGAATGGATGAACAAATAAAGACTGAATGGGTAAATAGATAGATGAACAGATAAATAAATCAATGAATGGATAGGTAGATGAATGAGCAAATAGAAGCCTGCAAGTATGCAATGCAAAATAGAAGTTCTATAGTTTTGAGGAAAGAGAAGTCTGGACCTGGGGTCAAGATCTCAGTTAATTTTTTGTTCTAGTGTCTATAACTCTTATTAAAAAAAACCAAAAAACTTACTACTGTAGCTTTTCAAAAATGCAAAAAAAAAAAGCTGCAGTAATAGGGGACTATTACAATGCTTTGAACCAAAGGAAGTCTCCATTCTTGGGCAATCGGGTCAGAGTACAACCTGGAAAGAGTCCCAAGAAAGCCAAGATGAGGCTAAACCACTCCCAATCAAAACCGAGTCAAACCAGAGTGGGATCCTCTGACACTTTTTGAGTCTAAGCAGTGTGAGGACGTGGACTTTCCAAGAGTGGTACACTCAGCAATGTTATCAGGTCAGAGAAAGCATTCTGGGCAGCAAACATTAGCTCCTCCCAATGCATTCTCTACATGTGCTTGGATAGCAGCTGGTATTGGCTGTTTCTACCCTGCTACACAAACCAAGCTGTTACCATGTACTTACATCTTTTTTGGTCACCTCTTCTGTTGTCAGGATAGGATGAGTTATTTCCAGTGTTTGTTCTGGAAACTTCTGAACAGGGAAATACTGGCTATCATTTTGGCTTGAATTTGAACTTTCCCACGATTCACCAGCACCACAAAGAGTACTCTAAAATAAAATAATAAAACAAGAGAAATTAGACAATGAAATGTTTTACTTTTACACCATAACCTTTTAATTATATTTCCTATATTATTTCCTAGCTGTATTTGTTAATGTAGTAAGTTTTTTAATTTGCAGTGCTATTATTATTCTCATTTTACAGTTGAGGCAGCTGAGGCAAACAGGTTTAAGTGACTTGCCCAAGGTCACACAACTAGTCAGTGTTTGGGGCTTCATTTGAACGCAGGACTTCCTGAACAATGGGCAGCTAGATGGTTCAGTGTATAGAGTGCCAGGCCTGGAGTCAGGAAGACTCATCTTCCCGAGTTCAACTCCAGTCTCAGACATTTACTAGCTGTGTGACCCTGGGCAAGTCACTTAAACCTATTTGCCTCAGTTTTCCATTTGTAAAATGAGTTGGAGAAGAAAATGGCAAACCACTACAGTATCCTTGCCAAGAAAACCCCAAATGGCATCATGGAATCTGACATGACTGAAACTTCCCAACTTGAGGCCCAGTGTTCCATCCACTGCTCCATCTAGCTTCGCCTCTGCCCTCGACCATATTTAACAGAATTATTCTACACAATAACGGCAAGTGCTTAGTGTTTTCCTTACAATTTCATAGGTCCTATCTAGCAATTGTATGAATGGGGAATCTAATAAAAGATGTTACTACAACATCTTTAGCAGTGCCTAGCAGACATTAAACTAAGGAAGCATCTGTAAAAGTCTTTCCCTTTTGAGAAGAATCTTTAAATTCTCTGGGATAAATAAAAGTCTGTCCTACTCTGATTGCTATGTTTGGTATCTTTGATTACTGCTACTATTAAAGCAAAACACTAATAATCCTAATTTATAATTTTCTGTTAAGACTATATGTTAAGACTATTTGCTAGGCATAAAGTAGATAGATTTCTAGACTTGGAAGCAGAAAGATCTGAGTTCAAATCCTGACTCGGGTTACTGGATATGTGATTCTAAAGTGAGGGGGTACCCATTGCTTCCATCTCTAAATTAATGATACCGTAATTCCATAATATCTCTACCAGTCCCCAGAAAAGTGGAAGGTAGATAAATACACACACACACACACACACACACACACACACACAAATGTAACTTTTCTAAGGGAAAGGTTGTTTTATATGTGTATGTGTGTGTATATGTATATATATGTGTGTGTGTGTATATATATATATATATATATGTAGGATATATATATCTTATAAAACACCTTTCCTTTACATGTGTATATAAATATTCCTTTATATATACATAATAGTTTACACATACAAACGCCCAGGGTTAACTAAATCTGTATGTGATATGAATAAATAGATGTGTGTACAGCATTTCTGCATCTCCACACTCATAGAGTTTCATGTTGTCTTAAGATTCTTTCTTCCTTAAAAGCAGTAACTGTGAACTGTTGTGTTATAATTTTCCCAACTTCAGGTACGCTATATCAGATCCGAATCTAAGGACTGAAGAGATTCAAGTCAACCATGAAAATGAACACTGACTTCTTAGCTCTGGAAGCTAAATTCAATTAAGGCTTTTGGCTGACTGTTGTAGGCAACTCAAAGTAATAATAAATATTAAAACATTATATAGGTGTACCGCTTTGAGCCGCAGATTCATTGATACAGTACCATGTTACGACACTGCTGAACTTAAAAGATTGGTGAAATGTGTTTAAGTAGTAAAATGTACACATGTGTACCTTATATATGCAATATTTGGCAAGGCAAATAAATTTCCCCACTGCAAATAGAATGCAGATTGGGCATGCATGATTCTACGATTTTCTTAATTGTGAGAGAGGAATCATTAAAATTGAAGTATAATTCTTTTTTGTAATATGACAGCTCATATTTATATATCTTGATGTTTACAAAAGCATTTTCCTCCAAACCACTCTGTGAGGTAGGGAGTTTAAGAATTATTATGTCCATTTCACACATGATAAAAACTGAGACTCAGAGAGTTGAAGTGACTTGCTCCAACATCAGACAAGTAGTAAAGTGAGATTTGAATCCAGGTCTTCCAGATTCCAAGACCAGTGTTCTTTCCATTATTCCATGCTGCCTTCTACAAGGCAGATTTATCCAAAAAGACAGTTAAAAAATCCAATTCTTTCAAAATACATTTATATTCTAGTCTTCACACAAAAAAGTAAAAACAAATCTACCCTACATGTCTATTAAAAAAGTAAAGGATCCTTCTGAAGCACTTCCTGGTTGCTATTTCAAATTTGATTTGAAATGAGGACAAAAAAAATCTATTCAAACAGCATTCTTTTCTAGCCACTACATATCAGTAGCTCTTTCTGTGATAAAGGCCCATATTATAAAATATTAACTGCTAATTTAAATAACCTATTCTTCAGTGTTAAAAATCATTCCAGCATCTCACACTCTCTTAAACCTTACCTTTTTTTTCTTGTCAGTAAATTCTAGGCAATCAATAATTTAAAAATAATAATTTACATGACTAGCATTCTACTGCTCAAAATCAGACTTCATGTCACAGTGCACAGTGCAGAAAATGAATTTGGTTTTCAACAAGCGATCCTTCTTCTAGATAAGCATGGCTATAGAAGGGGAAAATGAGTGACCTTAGAATCAGAAGACTTGAGCTTTCATCTCAGCTGTGTGAACCTCAGCAAGTCACTGACTGCCTCAGACCCTATATTTCCTCAACCATGAAATGTGGATAAGGATTTTTTTTCCTAGGTATTTTATAGTACTGTTATAAGGATTAAATCAAATTACATATGTCAAAGTGTTAGACCAATGTCAGATTCATTAAAATTCAACGTGATCAACAACTTTATTTTTTAAAAAATGAGGTTGATGGTAGGTAGAATCACCAGTTTACTTACTGTTTGTTCTTGAGATTCAAGCTCTGCTACATGCTGGAGTTTATCGAAAAAAGGCACAATGCTCTCATCGTATATTTTCCACCACAGATCAAGAAATGAGACATGATGCTGAGATTCTGAAGTTAAGCTCTCCGAAATCACTGAGCCAGTCTGACGGTTATATTTGTAATGCCAAGGCTTTGCTGGCCCCAAAAAATGGACCACTTTTGCATCCGAGCCAAATCTTGGAAAACAACAATAATCTATTTTTTCACTTGAGTGATGACATATCCAAGTAATTTATTCAACAATTGCAAGGTTCTCAAAAAATGAAAGGGAACTGGGAGATTCTTTCAATGCTTTTTCTTTTTATTGAAAATCACTTTCACTTCTATTGAAGATCAATTGACAATGAACTTAGATTGAAACTATTTTTCTTATCAATATGTCAAGGAACTCTGATTCATCAGACCTTAAAAACTCCCTCCTCATTGGGACAAATCACAAACCATTTAAAACATGGAGACTTAGAGGGTTTTCTGAGGAATAGAAAGGTTGAATACATTGACCACAATCATGTAGTTTATATATTTTACTATCAGAGGTTGATCTTGTTTCCAAGTCTTCCTAATTCCAGTTTCAGCATTCTATCCCCTATGCCATATACCCTTTCATTTTCAGTGAAACAGTCCTGATGCTTAAAATAGCATGAATATATTTTTCATATAAATAAAAAGGCAGTTATGTTTCATGTTTCTACACGGGGTTTACTGGGGAAAGTACTAGGCTGGGAGTCAGAGGATGTAAGTTTTAATCCTAGCTATAACACTAAATAGCTATAAAATCTGGGGCAAGTCACTTAACTTCTCTGGGCCTCAATTTCTTCAATTCTAAGGTCTCTTCAAGATTTAAAATAATTATTTAATTTTTTTCAGAGTCCATGTGGTGTAGTTGCTTTGAAATCAAAGGACCTGGATTCAAATTCTGTTTCTGATGCTTACCATGTGTGTGACCTCAAGCAAATCACTTAACTTTCCTGGACTTCAAATACTCTCATCTGCCAAATGAGCAGGTCTTTGAGGTCCTTTCCAGCCCTTCATCTATGATTCCACGACCCTATTACTTAGAGTCACATAATATTTAGTTTCAAGTCCAAACCAGAACTCATTCTTTCCCTTTAGACTCTCCTTTCCTCTTAATGACCCTGTTTATATTGAAGGCAGAAAAGAAACAAACATGTATTAAATGCCTACTATGTACTAGGTATTGTGTTAAAAGTTTTACAAATATTTCATTTGTTCCTTACAACAACCATGGAAAGTAGGTGCTATTATTATCCTTCTTTTACAGAGGAGGAAACTGAGTCAGAGGTTAAATGCATTGTCCAGTGTCACATAGCTGCCTTTTGTTAAAGACACCACCAATCTCATAACTACCTAATTTCACAACTAAGGTGTCATCCTTAACTCTTCATCCCATCCCACCCTTATTGTATGAGATCAAATAACTTGCCAAGTGTTACCAATTCCACCTGCTCAACACCTCTCACACTGGTCCCTTTCTCTCCACTCACATCTCAACCTTCTAGGCCTTCATCACTTCTCACCTGGACTAAGATCACAGCCTGCTAATTAGGCTCCCTGTATCTGATCTCTTCCCCCTCGTAACCACCCTCTGCCAAAGTGATGTTCCTAAAGTGCAGACCTGCCCATGGAACTCCCCCACTTCACAACCTCCAGTGCTGCTCTGTTTGCCATTAATGCCCTTCACAATCTGGCTGCAGACTGTCTTTCTAAAGTAATTACCTTTCATTCTTCCCTATCTGCTCTTTGTTCCAGCAAAATTGGCCCACTTGCTCGTCCTGATAAACGACATCCCATTTTTTCCCTTTGAATCTCCACACGTGCATGGAACGCTCTTCTTACTTCACTTCACTTTGGAACCCCAAGCTCCCTGTAAGGTTCAGTTCAAATGTCCCTTCTTTCAAGGGGCCTCTTCTGATTCCCCCAGTGATCAGAGCTCCCTCCTCCAAGTTTCTGTGCATTTATCCTGTATGTATCCCATACTTGTCTTTGTGCTATCATGGCTCGCTAATAGAATACAAGTTCTTTGTATCCCCAGGGCCTAGCACTGGCCTGACACGTGGTAGGCACTTAATGACTGCTTCTTGATTGGTTGGTTCAATTGTTAGCTCAATCACCTACTAGATGTGAACTCTGAGCCTCAGCTACCTCAACATAGGAGTGATAATGATTGCCATCATCATTCAGAAGGTTGTTTTTAAGAATTTAATGTCGCTGTAAAATGCTGGGTAAATGTAAACAATTATTAATATATTATCAATATACATTATCAAATACTATTTGAAGCGTTAATAACCTTTCCAAAAATTGAAAACTTTAACATTTCTTAATAGTATCCCTTTACTATACTAGTACATATGTTTAGCAAAATGATGTGAACACAAAGGATAACCTTGATAGTTGCTAATAAATCCAATTTGCTTAGCATGTTGATCCGCTTTATTAACTAATTCTAAAGGTTTGTGTTTTGTTTTGTTTATACTTCATCTGGAGACATTTCATTCCCTAGACTGCTCACATAAATCATGTACTGTATTAAAACTTTATCACATAATTATCCCCCAAGTTCCTGGAGGAAACAAGGAGGAGCATAATATAATGGAAAGAACTCTGGATTTAGAGTCAGAGGGACATGACTTCAAAAACTGGCTTTGCTATTTTCTACCTCTATGATCTTAAGCAAAATGGTTTCTCTCCGTGCCTCAGTTTCCACCTCTGTAAAATGAAGAGAATACACTAGAGAACTTCTAAGGTTCCTTCCAGCTCTATATCCTATTACCAAGAATAGGTAACAGTGGTAACTAGGAATTCCAGTATTTAGGGTAAATTCAACTAATCTAGGGTTGTGGGGTAGTTGAACGAATCACTGGGATCAAGAGGGTGCAGGAAAAGGGAGGTTAAAGTACACACTGAAGACAGAGGTCCTAAGCATTAAGGAAGCTAAGGAAGATGTAGAGAAGAGTGTTCAAAGTGGATACAGGTTGAGGTGGAGAAGACTGTGAGCTATGTATTGAACTAGCACTTAGCACACAGTAGATAATAAATCTAGCTGACTGACCGATCCAGAAGTCCATAAATGATAGCAGCAGAGATCCACACAAGATGGATTGGAATTTAAAGGGGCAAAATATTGATGAGTGACAGTGGAAAGGGGAAGATATGAAAGTAGCATTGGGAACAAGGAGTATATGTCAGTTCTACTTTCTGGCCTTATATATCAGGAGGTGCAGGAAAAGGAACAGCCTACCCTGGTGAGAGACAAGGCTGATGCTGTATTTTAGTAAGCACCAGAATACGAAAGTAACCTTACAGGACAGCTACAGGATCATAGGTTTAGAGCTGAGAGGGACCTTGAAGTTCATCTTAGGTTTATCTCGTGGTTTTTCCTGTTGTTCACAAATATGAAATGATGTGCTCAAGATCACACAGATTTCACACTTAGGTTTTCTGACTCTAAATCCTGGGATCTTTCCATTGTACCATAAAAAAGTAAAGCACTTGGACAGTGTAGTGTAGGGGTTCTAAAATTGGATTGTATGAACTTATTTCAAAATATATTTGGATAACTATAATTCAAAATAATTATTTTACTCTTAGAAGAGGCCCATAAGCTTCAGGATACTGCCTAAGTATTCCATTAAAAAAAGGAGGGAGAAAGAAAAGGTTAAGAACTCCTAGTATAGTGTAAAGAGAAGACAATAAAGTAGAGGCTAGTAATTGCAGAAGGGCTATTGTTGACTTTACTATGGAAGAGGATAGGTGGGGAAGGTAATAAGATGGCCAGCATTGCTAGATGTGAACAGGTTTCGTTACTTATGGCACCAAGTGATCCCACACTGATACAAGGCATCTAGTATGGCATGGCTCCCAGACAAGGTAGTTCATATGGGAATATGACTCCTGACTAGGAAGAGAAGGCAACCCAGAAAAGGATATTGCACATTCATGGGACCCCGAGGGAGTGGCAAACTAGGTCCCTCAAAGAAGTAAATCATTTAGGCTGACAGTTGATGCTGGGAGGGAAGGGTAGTTGGCCAAGGAACCAGAAGTAAGCCCCAACCATGGAAGGTGATCATACTTTCTGAGATGTAGGTATCTATATCATAGTACTAATCACTCCATGCTAGTAACAGCTCTGCCCTGGATAATTACTTGTAAGTCAGAAATGCTGGCCCATGAATAAAGCAATCAAACACTTGAAATCTTCAAGTCTTGAACTAATATGAATACAACTTGCATTTATCCGTCAGAATCAGGCTGACTGCCATGAAGAGAGAAAAAGCTACTAGATTAAAGAATGGAAAAAAAAACTCAATAGCAATCAAACTTACTTATTGAAAGCAGGTCTATATGTATAGATGGTGCTACTGCTCAAGTTATAGAGAAATGGCAAATGTTTGCGAATATCTGAAGTTGCCCAGTTACTGAAGAAACTATTCAATAATCCTTGATCAGCCCCTAGTAATTAAAAAAGAAAAAAAAAACATAAAAGAGAAATGCATAAACAAAACATGTAGAGATTAAGAAAATGGATACAAAGGGATATTCATAATGAAGGAGACTAGGAATTACTGACTTCTCTGTTATCAGGATAATATTGCTTCATACTGTTCTCTCTGAAGAATTTGCAATAATTTCCTTAAAAGCTCTCACAGACAGAATCAGAAAACCAGAATGTGACCCATTAAAATACTATAGCAAAAGAAATTGGGTCTAATGGTCCAAGAGAAAAATAAGATTAATTCACGTAACTACTATCACATAACTACCTTATGCTTATATTTCTCTTCCTAAAGAAATTCAAACTAAAATGTTAAGTACATTAATTCTTTTCTAAAATCATCATATGGGGCAGCTAGGTGGCAAAGTGGATAGAGCACCGACCCTGGAGTCAGAAGGACCTGAGTTCAAATCCAGCCTCAAACATATAACACTCAATAGCTATGTGACTCTGGGCAAGTCACTTAACTCCAATTGCCTTGCCAAAAGAAAAAAAAACCAAACAAACAAATAAAATTATCATCAGTACATCTTCTGATGAAAGCAAGTTGGTATTTACCAAGCTTTACTTACCACGGCGTCACTTTCAATTTCTAATATCCTCACCTCTTTTTAAGGAAATTTCTATTTTCTAGCCAGGTTTTTCTTTTATTATTAGGATTTCAAACAACTATGTTACTATGTGTTGCCTTAATTACAACTAAACTTTAACCCTTTTTTTTCTCTTTATGTCTGCATAGAAAAAGAAAAGTGAGTTAGAGTTCTAAGTCTGCCACTAAGTGGCTGTGTGACATTAGACAAGTCATTTAATTTCTCTCAGCCTGCATTTCCTCATCTGTAAAATGAAGGAATTGGACTAGATGATCTCAAAGATCTGTTCTAGTTTTAACAATCTCTCTCCTATTTTACCCACTTAGCTGAATATCACTTCAATGGCTCTTTATAGTTGTTTATGTCAATGTTATCCTTTTAACCTACCTAACCTTGCCTACTGAGTTGATTAAAACTACAAGGTGAGAAAAAAAAAAGATAAAATCCAAGTAGGAGAGTGCATAATTTCTAGGCAAGCAACTCTTTCCTTTCCAAGATTTACCATCAAAACTTCCACATTTCACTGCATGCTGCATCAGAAGGCTATGGGTTTCTAAAGATGGTCGGAAAACAAATACTCCACTGTTGAAACAATCTGGCCATCCAGAGTCTGGGGCTGCAGAGAGCTCTTCACGATCAAATAGCTCATCAATATTACACAGCACCTAGAGAAACAGAAGCCAGCTGAAAAAATTGCATCAATATGTCTCAGGAGTTTGGCAAAGATCTAACAAATGAAACTGAAGCTTAGGGATAAAAAAAGACAGACTTTTTTTGTTTTTGTTTTAATTTTGTTTTGTTTTAATGTGTCCTTTTAATTTCAGTCAGAATCATGAATGAAGTTTTCTGTATTTCTAAAGAAAAGACAATGCTTTCATAACTCTGCCTTTGAAATTAAAGTGATTTTCTTGGTGTTCTTAGGGCACTACTTTTAAATGTTCACCTGTCCTACTCTTAACATGGGTAACAAGTGAAACAAAGGGAATGAACACACAAACATAGTGAAGACCAAAGAACATGTTTAATATGCTGCCTCTGAGAGTCTGATGGCAGCATACAGTTTCCTCAATGACTTTCTAAATGGTGTTCTAGTTGAAAAAAAAAAAGAAAAAGAAAGAAGAAAAAAGTATTGAATAGCCTTTTGTTCCTGCTCCCTTGCTTGCCATTTCATTCAGATACCTTTTCAAAGATACATTACAAAATAAACTAGAACCAAATAAACTAGCAGCACTCATGCCACCTCAGAACATAGACTCTCTGTTGAAATTTGATCGTGAACTTGAAGATTTGGATTTCTATTTAAATCAACTCCTTGACTGCAGAAGTTGAACGTGCATTTTCCAAGTCTGTTGCCAGCTCACCCAAAAATCAGATGAGTAATAACTAGTCAGTCATAGCAATCCTATCTGTATATCTAATAATAACACAAACATATGGAGTCTTTTAGTATTCAAAAAGTGCTTTATTTATATTATTTTATTTGATCCTAACAACTGTGTGAGGTAGAAATAAAAGCAGTATTATCCTAATTTTACAGAGAAAACTCAGGTCTCTTCATGCTCAGTAGTTTATTCATGGCCACATGACTGATAAGTATTAACATTAGGATTCAAATGTAGGTCCCATCCAAAGTGTAGAGTATTCTTCTATATAAAGAATTCTCCTACTGTACTTATTGTTGGGCACACACAAATTGGCCCTTGATTTTATTCTGTCTAATAATCCAGGGGTTCTTAATGTAGAGTCCAAGAAATTTATTAAAAAATGTTTATAATATTTATAGCAGCTCTTTTCTGGGGGCAAAGAATTGGAAATTGAGGGGATGCCCATCAACTGGAGAATGACTGAAGAAACTGTGGTATCTAATTGTGATGGAATACTATTGTGCTATAAGAAATGATAAACAGGATGCTCTCAGAAAAACCTGGAAAGACTTACATGAGCTGATGCAAAGTGAAATGTACTATGTATAAAGTAAAGGCAATATTGTAAGATGATCAGCTGTGAATAACTTAGCTATTTTCAGCAACACAATGATCCAAGACAATTCTGAAGGACTTATGATGAAAAATGCTGTCCATCTCCAGAGAAAGAACTGATGCTGTCTGAATACAGATTAAAGCATACATTTTTTTACTTTCTTTATTTTTCTTGAAGTTTTGTGAGGGTTTTTGGCCTATGTTTTCTTTACAACATGACTATTATGGAAATGTTTTTCATTACTACACATGTATAACCTATATCGACTTTCTTGTCTTCTCAATGAGGGGGGATGGGGAGGAAGGAAGGGAGAGAATCTGGAACTCAAAGTTTTAAAAACAAATGTTAAAAATTGTTTTTATGTGGAACTGGGGAAAAATAAAAGACTAAATAAATTTTTTAAAAAATAACTATTTCAATATAATTCCTTTCCTTCGTAATCCTATGTATATTATTTTAGAATTAAAAACAAAACGTTATTCTGAGAAGGGACACAAAGGCTTCACAGGACTGCCAAAGGGGTGTAAGACACAAAATGGTTAAGAATTACTGTTCTAATTGTTTTATATTACATACTAATATACATATAGAATAATAGTGAGATTGTAAACTCCTTGAGGCAAGGGACTATGCTTTATATTTCTTACATAACAAGCAGAGTAATAATTGAGGATGCTGCAAAAGCTCAATAAATACTTGCATGTTGAAGAGCTGATGCTATATAGTGAGCATAAGAATGTTGCATTCTCAAGTAAATGGTCAGTACAAATTAGAAACTTCTTGTTATATGAATATATAGTAAGAAAAGGTCAGTACCATACACAAGGATATTCCTACTCTAGTCTGCTATCTTCTTCCATTTTATGAGTGAGTTGTCCCATTCACACTCACAGTTATACTTTATTGATCCTCTTGTACTTTTTTTCCTCCCACCTCCTTCTTTACAATTATGGAGATAATAAAGAAAGTTTGCCCAACATATGTGCTCTTAAAAGTGAAACATTTTTTTCTCTGATGCATCTTTTATCTTGTCTCTATGCCATCCCGATGCCTGGTTTTATCTTTGTCTTCCTTTCCTTTTAAACCACCTTCACATTCCTCTCACAAATACTCAAAGTCTTTTTTTTTTTTGCTTATGACTATGCCTTTATCTATTCTGCCCTCCCTCTTAGACACTTCTCCACCCCTCTCCCTTGCCCCCTTCTATTTCTCTTTTGAGTTTAATGTATTTCTATACCAAAATTCCTATGCGTTTGTATGTATTTGAGATGACGTTCAGTTTTCCTCTATGCAATTCAATTCATGAGATATTTATTCCACTCACCTCTTATGCACCTGTATTATGTAATAGTGATTTTCCTCCTTTCCTCCTCCTTTTTCCCCCAGTATAGTCCCCTGTACCTCCCATCTTTGTTTTCCCCAAGATTGATAAAACAGAACAAAAGTACCTACCAATCCACTCTAATTTTCTCTATGACCCTCAAAGAATTTAAAGCTCTGGAAAGGATCAAGCTGGGCTGAGGCACTTCTTCATGTTGGGGCTTGGGCAGGGATTACCGGAGTGCTTTCTGCATTATGTCTCATCCTTGATCTAACCCAACTTCTTCATGCCAGTCACTCTGCAGGATTCTGGAGGTTTTTCTGTGGACTTCTGGTTTGGGTGAAGGAGTCCAAAGGTGATTCATTCCCTTACCAGACTGGTGCATCTCTAAGCTCTGAGGGATCCTCTGCATCTAGTCTGCCATCATCTTTCCACAATATCCCTACAACTATTATAAGATTTTTTTAGTTTTATAATATATATAACTGATCTTCATCATTTCCTATTGTACTCACCAATGTATCAGCATCCATAAAGACACATTTGCTATAATGAGTAAGAGTCCAACAGTGAAGTTTAGTGAAGGTTACACCAAGTTCTGGTCTCTTCAGCAAAGCCAAGTGGACATAATCAGCACTATCTTCCAAATTCACTTCAATTACTTCATCAAAAACTTTGTAGAGAACATCCCTGAAGGAAGGGGGAAAGAAACAACGTAACTATATCTACACACACACACACACACACACACATAAAATATCAGAGCAAAGAGTGAACATTTTAATACAGTGCAACACTTTTCTTTAAGTGAATGGTCTTTTGTACTATTAAATCACAGATCACTGGATAGATTTATGTTTAGAAGCCAAAGGTTAGTAAGCAAAATAAAAATATTGGTATATAGTATGCTACAATACAGACTGCTTTCTAAACAAGTCAAAACCTCCAGGTACTATTTCCTGGAGAAATCTTTAAAAAGATAGAAATATTCATTCTGTTCAACACATAGAAATAGATTGATGTATTGAAATTCACATAAAGAAAAAAATCAGATTTCTGTGCCACACATAATATTTATACAATAGAATATAGTTTATTTTCATTAAGAAGGGGGTAGATCTATTGAATAACATTTTTATTCCTGTGACATTAAATAGCTAAATTTAATAACTATGTTACATTTTACTTTCCATTCAATTTAAAGAAAAGTTCCTCAAGCAATCAATGATATTAAGAAATAGATGCATACTATGCTATCTGGATATACCACTCCCTGGACTATTCATTTACTAGTAATCAATCCAATGTTATTTACAAATTACTTGTGATTCATTAATAATCCCCCTTGTGATTTCTCCCGTGTTGCAGAAAATAACTAAACACCTTAGCCTGGCATTTAAGGCTCTCTATCTATTTATCTCTCTATCTAGTTTCTTCAACTACTTACTTTCCACTATTTCCTGAAAGAAAAGAAGACTCATTTTGGGATAGTGGAAAGGAAGCCAGCCTTAGAGGAAAGAAGGCCTGGGTTCAAGTCCTGTCTGTGATACACACTGGTTGTGCGTACCCTAGGCAAATCATTTAACTTCTTGGTCCTTCCTGCCAACTCTCCAGGGCTGTTATGTGCAAAATAAGTGATAATCTGCAGTGTTAGAGTGAGTTCTCCATAGCAATGAAATCTCAGGTATGTACTAGAAAAAAAATTCCCTTACCTGAATGCCTTAATTCTGCCAGATCTCACATCAACAACACAACCATGTGAATCCTACCCATAATTCAAAATCCAAATCAAATTGGACCCCCTAAGGGAAATCTACTTTAACCATTCCAAATGGACACAAACTCTCCCCTTCTCTACCACCAATTTGGCACAAATCATATACTGCCTTATTTATTTAGGCATCTCTTTAGGATCAGCGATGTGCTTTACATAAAATATCTCATTTGATCCTCAACAACACTTTGAAGTGATGTAATTAACATTTTCTAGAAGAAATTGAGGCTAGGAGCAGTCGATTAACTGGCTTATCATTACACAGGTAGTAAATAACAGAGATGGGATCCTAATAAGTTCTTCTGTGCCCAAGTAATGGACTTTACGCACTATGCCATGCTGCCTCTTTGTATGTGTATGTAAGGTCCTTGAGGCCAGGTACTGAATTTCTTCTTTACGCCTTCCTTGATCTAATACAATGTTTTGTACATAGAATATCCTGAAATCAGTATTTAATGATTGGTTCATAGATACATATGCCTATTTGCAAATGGCTGAAAACTGGTCATGACCAATGGTGAAGAACCAATTATAGCCAAAGCTATCACGAGGGCGGGCCACCAGAGTTTTGCCAACGTGCACTGAAGTTCCTAGGACAAGCAAATCTAAAATAATAATTTGAAAGTACTGTGTAGTTTGCTCCCAAGGTACTTTTTGGTTCTCATGAAAATTAAACTAGGGTAACAAAAGATAGATGTGAAGCATCAGAGTCCATAATCATATCTTTATTAGATATTTGTGTGGCCAACAACAAAATTGCTGACTTTTTTCTGCTGCCTTGCATTTAGCTTATGTTTACATAGAGATCTAAGGTTTGCAAAGAGTATTACATCTTTCATTTCATCTTCACAATAATCTTATAAAGCTATTGTAATGCCCATTTTACCTATGAGAAAACTGAGGCTGAATGACATTTTGGTGACACGTACAGAGTCACACTACAAGCATCTACTAAATACAAGGCATTTTCTAGGCGTTAGGGATACAAAGAACAACATATAATAGTCTATCCCTTCAAGGAGTTTACATTCTGTTGGGAATGCCAGGGATGAGGAAATGAATATCGGCACTAGTCCTGTCCAAACATTATGTGTACAAATATGTGTGTATGTATATATGTATACATACACACACATATACACACAGACACACAGACACACAGACGTGGAAATAGATATAGATACCAGACTGACTAGTGGATGAAGATACAGTTCTAGAGTCAGGAAGACTTGAGCTCAAGTTCTGCCTCTTCCACATACTAACTCTGTGACCATAGTCAAATTACATAACCTTCCCAAACCCTCAGCAACTCTGTAAAATTATAAGTTACAGATGAGTTGCATGGATGAAGTGAGTTTATACCCTGGGAGTTCCTCAAACCAATTAAATAATTAAATCACAAATCCAGATTAGTTAGCTAGCTAGCAACACACATATATACACAGAGATCTGTGTAATACATAATATATATGCATGCATGCGTGTGTGTGTATTGTACACACACATACATGCTTATATAATAGTTACAAATTGTTAATAGTCCATTGTCAAATGTGAATTTAAATAAATTCTTTTAATTTTTCTAGATATTCTATAAATGTCTTATATTTTTTTCAAAAGATAAAGTTTGTCTAGAGAGTGAGTAAATTAGGGGTATTTATATAAGCTTAGATCCATAATATGAAAAGGAATTAGAATATTGGTTTTAAATTAAATAAAAATGTTCAAATATATGCAACTGGCTTTTATGTAACTTACCTCAATAGACTAGAGACTTGAGATGTAATTAGTATCACCAGTTTTCTTGTTATCCTGTGATTTTTCAAGGATTGTCCAAGAACAAGAGCTCCTTGGCAGTAAACATCATTGGTAGCGAGTGTCACAAATGCTTGATCTGTAACTAAAGATTTAGAAGAAAATCCATTTTACTTTTCTGACTGGCAGAATGGCAGATGTATTGCAACCACCCTTTCTCCCAAACTTTCATGCTTGGCACACAGGCCATAACATAAAGGTATGACTTCATGCATGTAGGTATATATCTATTCATGAAGGAGCAGATGTCACAGTGGATAGAGAGTTGGGCTTTGAGTTAAGATGACCTGAGTTCAAACCTGGCCTCAGACACTTATTAGCTGTGTGACCCTGGGAAAGTCACTTAACCTTTGTTTGTCTGTTTCTTCAACTTTAAAATGGAGATCATAATAGCACCTACCTCCCAGAGTTGCTGTGAAGATCTAATGAAATAATATTTACTAAAAGCATTTAGCACAGTGCCTGGCACATAGCAGGTTTATATCCTCCTTCCCTCTGTCCCCTCATTACACAAATGCAAACCATAATTCCCACCCCATCCCCCAACTCAGGAGCTTATTTAATGAGTTTCTGGCTTCCTTCTTCCTTTTCCCTTCTTCTGTTCCCCACCAAACACACACACACACACACACACACACACACACACACACACACACAAATGGAGGGGTAGATGAGTAGATGGATGGATATACACATGCGAATTTGCATGAGCGTATGGACACATATAAGGGAGTTGATCTTTGATCAATCCCAAAAGACCCAAATCTAATCACAAAGTGTTAAACTAACTATAAGATATGGCTACTCCAGGTGTTCACTTTATGAAGTAGAAGCAAGTTATTTAACTCCGTTAGAAAGAAAACATTGGCCACTGTTTGAAAATGATTGGCCATGCTTCTGAGTAGACTTACAAAACAGTCAAGTCAAAAATGAGTTGCCTTCTACTAGTCTATTACAAGAGCAGCTATACGAAAGATACTCCTATACCTATAACAGAGGGTGAAAGGAGGGGAAATTGCCCCCTCTCTCATTGAGCAGAGACTAGAGGCAGAGCTACTAGCAGTAGCAGATACTACATTCATCAGGTCAAGAGAGTTGGAAGCATAGTTTTAGGAATAGATACACACTTTCCAAACAGATAAGGACATAAAGAGGAAGTGACTTGAAGCAAAAGGCAGCTTTAAAAAGTATGACCTCTGACAGCAGAGAAAAGAGCTGACAATGGATTCAACTGAGAATTAACCTTGACAATCAAGAATGGAGTTCTAGAGAAGAATAGACCCTGACAACCCAGCTCAGAAACTGGCCGAGTAAAGACATTGTGCCAAGGGTGGATCATTATAAGGACTCCATCAGGAAATAACGAAGTACCTACCGCCCATTGCCTGAATTTTTTTAGCCACTGAGTTTCTTGCATGCATGCCTCACTATCATTATACTCCAAGTTTGTGTTCACTCTTCCTATGGACGCTTAGCATGTGTGTAGGTGTGCGTTACCTGGTTTTGTGGTGGGAATGTTTTGTAGCCACAGCTCTTACTATGCCATCTTAATAAATGCTTCTGCTTTAAGCTAATTGTGTCTACTAGCTGACTCTCAAGTACAATTGCATGGTGGATGCTCATGAGTGTTAGTTTTAGAAGTTCATTTAGAATGAGGGAAAAGATTTTTATTTTATTTAATATTCCAAAATTTCCTTAAGTATCTCTTTCAATTAAGAGGTGATTTCTAGTTAATCATTCATAAGACTGTTTTTTCCCCCTTTGTTTTCTTTTTTTTCCGTAAGATTGTTGGAAATACAAAAAAAAGATAGGTCAAATCTAGGCAAAACTGAGAATTAAGGCAATCATTTTGGCATATTAAGCAAAAGTAAAGCTATTTAGGCAAGGCATAAAGACCTCTATGGGATCAAAATGCTTTGCCATACAAAACTATTTCCACAATAATGATGATTTTTAACAATACAACTTTTAGCTAGCCTTATTCTCTTCATATAATAGCCAAAGAGTCTTAGTGGCTAAAGTCAAACACGGAGACAGGAAAGCCTGAGTTCAATTACCATCACTGACACCTATCAGCTACATGACCTTGGGTAAGACACCTACCCTTTCGGGGCTCTAAGCAACTCTCTACCTATAAGTTGCAGAGAAGTGGCTCACTTGCATTGATAGAGGGAGATTTCTCATCCGGGAGAGTTTTCTATACCAATGAAATCATAAGTTTAGAGCCTATGCCTATGTAACAGCCAGGAACCATTCCTGATGCATGTTTTGTGAATATCATAAGTTTAAGTCATTTGCCAAGTTGTAGCAGAAACCACAAATATTAGTAGAGAGGAATGAAAGATTTTCATATTGAGTATCATGTAGTAATCTAGACTTTATCATTTCAAGGGTTTGTTTTATTGAAGAATATGCATGCCAAATGTCTTTTTCAATGATTTATAATATGTATTTTATCACTCACAATATTTTTGTATAATACACTCTAGTAAATTTTTTTAAGCAGAAGGATATGCATTTCTTGCCAAGATAAATGTGTCTAGGCACAGTCAAGCTATAATCAAAATCTCTACCTGCTTCAAAAATCAGATTAACAGAACACTTGAATTGTAAAAGTGAAGGTGGAGAGGGAGGTGATAGTGTTTCATTAAGAGAATGGCTTTCTCTCACCATAACTTCTCACTAGGGATACAAGAAATAGTTTGTTATCTGACCCAGTTTACAATACAACAACGAAATTCACATACATACCACTACTTTGCACTTCTATAGCAACTTTCAAACAAGTTTGTCTCTCAGGCCCCTGAGAGCTTGGTTGCCAAGATAAAGACAATAGTTCTATGGGGAAAAGAGACACACTGAGAAATCCTGAGTCTTGCCCAAGGCCACTGCATTGTCTTGAGAAATTGGAATTCCTAGCATGAAGCCCTGTGCCCAGACCACACAGTATCTTAGGTTCCCACAAAGCAGACTACAGTCATTCCTGAGGTTTGTAAGACTCCACTAGTACTAAAAATCATACAAGTACTAAATTAAATCATGAAAATGCAAGCTTTAGAGCTCGATTTCACATAACGGTTTTTTTGTTACTAACATTCCAAAGGGAAAAACTAAATAAATGAGCCTCTCTAGATACTCTGTATACTCTCCCTCAACTTACTCTCAGCATTGTTAGGCTAAGAAAGAATATTTCAGGTTCTTTCATAGTTATGATCGACTGTGGATGAGAGGAAAATTGTTGTTGTTGTTTGTTTGTTTTTTAATTTAAAAAAAATTTTTTTAGTTTTCAACATTCACTTTTATAAGATTTTGAGTTCCAAATTTTTTCTCCCTCCCTCCCTTCCCCCTTCCCCAAAGCTGCTTGCAATCTGATATAGGCTATACATGTACAATCAAATTAAACATATTTTCCCATTAGTTGTGTTGTAAATGATGAATCAAAACAAAAGGAAAAAACCATGAGAAAGAAAAAAAATAGAAAATAGTGTGCTTCGATCTGCACTCAGACACAGTTCTTTTTCTGGAAGTGGATAGCATATTCCATCTTGAGTCTTTTGGAATTGTCTTAGATAATTGTATTGCTGAGAAGAGCTAAGTCTATCAGAGTTGGTCATCGAACAGTGTTGCTGTTACTGTGTACAATGTTCTCCTGGTTCTGCTCACTTGACTCAGCATCAGTTCATGTAAGTCTTTCCAGGTTTTTCTGAAATCCTCCCACTCATCATTTCTTATAGAACAATAGTATTCCATGACATTCATATACCACAACTTGTTCAGCTATTCCCCAATTGATGGGCATCCCCTCAATTTCCAATTCTTGACCACCACAGAAAGAGCTGCTATAAATATTTTGTACATGTGGGTCACGAGGAAAATATTTGTTAACTTTCAGGTGATATTCTTGAGTGAATAAAACAAAAAAGCATAATTCACATTTATCTAGTGTTTAAGATTTACAAAGTACTTTCCTCACAACAACCTTATAAGGAAGATATAAGTATTATCACAGATGGGAGAAGAGAAGCTTCAAGATTTTAAGTGATTTGCCCATGGACACATGCCTAAGAAGTGTCTGAGCCTTGATTCAAAAACAGTTTTCCTGAATTAAAGTCTACACTTTTTACACTAAGTCCTGACTCTTTCCTCACCATAATTTGAATTGTGTACTGATGTGACTGCTGCCATGAATCTATTTGGGAAGGTAACTAAATAAAAGACTGAGGTGTAGTCTATTAAGACCTAAGTATGGGGGCACCTAGGTGGTGCAGTGAGTAGAGTCAAGAGGACCTGAGTTCAAATCCTGCCTTAGACACATAATACTTACTACCTGTGTGACTCTGGGCAAGTCACTTAACCCCAACTGCCTCACCAGAAAAAAAAAAAAAAAAAGACCTAGTATGACTGAATGTGCTGAATTTCACTACTGATGTTTCAAATATTTTGATTACTGACTTAAGTCATTATTCATCTTTTAATAAATAAAGTTGGCTTTCTTTCTTTTTGTTATACAGAAGTGGTAAGATTCCATATTTAGTTTTATTTCCTTGATCATAAGATGAGTGGTCAAAGGAGGCTGAAGCCAGAGGAGGTCTTACGAATAGGTAGTAACAAAACAAATCCATGGCAGAACTCACTTAAGCACATAATTCAGATTATCCAGATAGTCGACTTTCTAGAGCTTCTAAGCTGTGGATCATTGTTGCCATTCCTGCATCCTAGACTCTTGAAAGATTTATCTAGATGCCTCACTTGGATTCTGTTATTTTGGAGGAAATATCAGACAAATGGAAATTTTTGGCATTTTAATATAAATGTCTGAAACATATTTATGGGTTTTATACTCACGCCTTAAGTGTTAGGACCAGCAGCCTCCTTAACATTTCCTCTACCAGCAGACCTTTTATTTAGGAGGCTATATTATTTTTAAAACTTGGAACATATGGCCTAACACAAATTAAATAAGGCTGAATTTTTTTCAAGTACACTAGGGAAAAAGGAAACTGTAAACATAAAAAGCTATAGAAATGTAGAAGCAGGATGCAATTATGAATTTTTATTCCTTCATCAACAGGGTTCTGTCATTTA